AGGATATGCCATCCAGTTGTTGCAGTTCCTAAAATCTTTATCCTGTTTCTGCTTAGCTGATCCACTTGTCCACAAGCACCACCTAGTCCACTAGCTGATGCATTAGTGATCTGTTTAATCTTGTCCAAAAAAGAAGTGATCTGTTTAAAGAGAAAGCATTTATGACTTGTATGGCTGATACTGAGATGCCAATATAGGTCATCAATGTACTCTACTTTGTCACAAGAATGATCATTTTAGGCTAAAACCCCACTTATTTTTGGTGGTTACCACTGACACATACCAGGCTAAAATCAACCGCATTCATGTATGGTATGTTTGCAACTGTTCATCGTACAAAAAACAAGGTAGTGCACCGGCCTGCGATACTCATACAATGCAGCACAGAGGACTGTTCTCAAAGATGTCTGCCTAGAGGCGACACCCTCTCACTTCACATATTTAACCTACCTAGGTATCTGGCTAGTCGGCGACGAGGCTCTAGGTGCCACCCCAACCCCTGCCGAGTGCCCAACACTTTCAGAGCTTCTGCGTATGAGCGCATGCTTCATCTTTCTGACATGTCTTTAATTTTGAAATTTTGCTTGCAGCATGGTGTTAATCTGAGACATCCAGAGTATTTTGCGGACAGCCCATCAGCAGGGATGGCCCCCTCAACAAGAGAGGAGTAGAATGGGTCAATTCTTCAACAAGAGAGGGCTAGAATTCGTTGTTTCTTATAAGCGTAACAAGTGAACGGTCGTGTCCTTCCCAACTTTATGTTACAAAACCTTATAAGCATGTATCCAATGGCAGTTCTTGATGTATTATGTACCAGTAGTTGCCACCATTTTATGCTTATGTATAGTATTGCTGGTTAAGTTCTCCCATTTACCCCTATCTTGGAGTGATTGCATCTTGAAACCGTCGACCAGATCAGATTGATTTGATCTTGTGTACCACTTAAGTTTGATTCCTGATGGTTGACTAGCATAGATAGCACCAACATAAACTGGGAGGGAGTGCTGGAGAATGATGATCTGGAGATCAGATAGGGCTAGTTTGCCTTCTTCAGTACTCCCTTTGTAAAGGAATATAAGAGCGTTTAGATCACTAGGGAGTATCAAATTCTAGGAACACAAGTCAAAATTGCATACTTCATGCTGTAAAAAGGAATACTACACTAGTGCGTACTTGTCAGGAGGGGAACTTTTGGTTCCTGGGTACATATGTACCCTATATGAGAAAAAAATTTAGCAATTCAACAAAAAGTCAAAAAATTCTGAAAATATTTTTGAAATAAACTTGACCTTTCATTGTACTAGTGAGAAAAGTTCCACAACAAGAAAATTTCTCTTTGACTTCTTTTCAAAAAAGACAAAGTTTTGGTCAATATAGCATGAATAGTGACCTATAATAGCAAATAAATTTTGTCTTTTTTGCTGTGAAGTCAACGTAGTTTTTTTTTGCGAAAATTGATATATTAGTGCGCAAGTAAGTCAAGTTTAATCTAAAAATACTTTTGAAGTACTTTGACTTTTTGTTTAATTATTTAAAAGAAATACCCCATATAGGGTGTATATACATGCGGGAGACAAAGGGTATTTCCCGTACTTGTCATGGCTATTAGATGTACCTTTGGTTTGTCAGTTTGTACATACAACAGCACTGCCAAGACTTCAAAGGTCGCCTCATACTTCTATCAATCGTACATGCATGCTTGACCTTGAACTTAATTCGTCAAACATGAAGCAAATTTCTTACTCACTGTTTCAACAAGGATAGTTTCTTAATATCTTAAAATAAATAAATACTACTCCCTCCGTCCCATAATGTAAAATGCTTTTTGACTAATGTAGTGTCGAAAAACGTCTTGCATTATGGGACGGAGGGAGTAACTACTAAGGCCTCCCTGATTCGCGGGATTCTAAAAATGCGGGAATAAAAAAAATATAAAATTGGATTGTCATGCTCATAACAATCCTATAAGATGACCAGCGCTTAAGGCTCCGAATAGGTTCGGGGCTTTTGAACCGGGTCGTTCTCTGTTTCAAAACGGTGGGAGGAAGGCCTATTTCACACTCTCTAACGGTTTATGTTCTTCCTTCTCCCAAACTGCGCGGTTTCACTCCAAGGTTTTCGCTTCGTTTCCATGGAAACCCCATCAAACACATGACGCTTCTGGTCACTCGCCAAAATCCTCTGATTCTTGGTGCCCGCCCTTGATGACTTGATGTAGGGTGCAGGTGGAGCCTCTGATGGGCCGTTGATGCAGACTGCTTTACGATGATGCAAAGCTATACAAGATTGCAATTCCCACTTCGTTCACCAACTTCCTCTATAAATTTCTCACAGTGTTTTAAAAATTGCTAAAGCATATATTCTCTCCGTTCGTTTTTTCTTGGAACACCTTTTTTTTTCTGAACCAGAAACCCTAGAACTACAATAGTTCTACGGTATTTTCATTAAATAAATATATACAAAGTTACAAATTACAAAAGAGGAGAACTAACAGGTTATTAACCAATCCCACTTCTAGGAAACTCCATGGCAATAAATAGGAAAACTCAAATGTGCTTCAATCCAAAGCTTTTTCCGTGCTTCACTTTTGCTCTGAGAATGGCCAATTGTAAATCTCTAGGCTCTAGCAAGAGCAGATTTCCAAGACTGAATGGAAGGAGTTTTTGCTTAAAAAATCTTTGCATTTCTCTGAATCCATATGTGCCAACAGGCCATGATGGTGATATCTGTTGCAAAATCATCAGGGAAAACCTCAGCCAAGTTCATGAGTTCATCAATGACACAGGTCCCTCTCTTTCTGTTACTTGCAATCAAATCCCATCACTGGAGCGCAAATGGGCAATCCCAGAATAGATGGAGGGCGGTTTCTTCACAGTTTAGCTCACACAACTCACATCTGTAGCTAGGTAAATGGAAACTCTTCCTCTGGAGGAGGTTCCTGGTGTTCACCCTATCATAGAAAAGCAGCCATTTTTTTTTTTGTATCTCAACATGGTTGCACTCTTCCAAATCATTCTGAGGAAAGGGTGAGCCTCATTATGCTTACGCAGCCACTGGTACATTTTGATTGAGAAGCTAGCAGAGTTCCATGGGTAACACCAACTATCTTGAGCATCACTGAGTTGGAGTTGCTGCAGAGTATCACCAAGCTGCAAGAGCTGCTGGTATGCTGGAGAGTTCACACCTTCTTTTTGTTGTCGTCGTAGTTCAACCGGAACAGCCGTTCCATGTTTGCCCCGCATCCAACCCGCCGCTCACCATGTTGCCAGCAAACGAGATCCATCCGTCCCGGCCGCCTCTTCCCCAAAATCAAGAATCAACTTCAGAGCAAAACTTTCGTCAGGTTTGTAAAGCAGTTTGCTCATAGTCATTGCTCTGATTTGGAATCAAACTTGTTGAAGTTGGATCTCTGAATTTCTTGCGGATGTTAGAACATTATTAGTGTCATCTTACTGCAAACCTCTCAACATGCAGAAGTTGATTGGTTCTTACTCTCCCTCTGTAGACTAATATAAAATCGTTTAAGTCACTTGGT